AGAGAGAGAGAGGAGAGAGAGAGAGAGAGAGAGAGAGACGGCAGACAGACAGACCGACAGACAGACAGACAGACAGGCAGAGAAGACAGACAGAGAGACAGAGACGGAGAGAGGGAGAGGGGGACGAGAGTGTGCGCAAGACTGTGGAGCTGAAACAATCAGATTGTTATAGTGAATGAGCTTTCGATATACAATAGCCATGTACATGTACATGTACATGTAGGAGATGTACCCTCCCCCCCCCCCCCCTCCATGATACTAGAAATAGGACATGGTACGTACACGTACAATGTAGCTCTCTACATGTACATGTACCTCAGTCCTGCTACTATACTGGTACATTGTAAGTAATCTGCCCTGTCCCCTCTCTGTGGCCTGAGCCTGAGGCTGTAACCGGCCGGTAGCCGCCCTCAGTGGTGATGTTCTGGACATCTGGCTATAGAACTTTACGTCACAGTTTTGAACTACTAGTATGACGAAAAACACCAAATCCGTCTGGTACACGCCTGTGTGTACTGTCTGGCTGTCGTCGTGTCGAGGACTTGATCATTGATCAATCACATAATACATGTACATGTACATGTACGTCATCGTATACATGTACATGTACGTGTACGTCATCGTATACATGTACATGTACGTGTACGTGTACGTCATCGTATACATGTACACTATACAGTCATGTAATTATTAGTATTACACTTTTGTCGTTTTGAGATTTAGTTTACATGTACATGTACATGTACATGGTCATTGTACAATCATGTTGTGGGTGATTGAACTGTTTACCCCCCAGTCTAACATCGGAAGCCTCGCTCTATAAGTTCAAAGCTGCCCTCACTGCCTCAGGAAATTTACAGCTGACTATGCTTATGCAATCAACGGAATTCCGCCACCTTGCAGTTGATTTTCCCCATTTCTCTCCTCATCAATCCCTACTTCTCTTTGTACATACATGTACATCTACATCTACTGTTCTTTCAATCAAATGAACCCCTCGATAGGCACATTGCCTTTGGGTCATTTCATAATAATAATAATAATAATAATCTCTTTTCCTCAAACCAGTTAAAATAATAATAATAATAATAATGTAAATAGGCGTCGAGGCGACAATAGTTTTAGAATTGCGATCAACAGAACGAGCTGAACCGACATTTCACAAAGGCTTTTATTGTTTTCAAAAAACGAGTGGATACGAAGGCAGTGAAGAACGTGGAAGAAAGAAAAAATGTGATATGGAAAAAAAAAATGATGAACAAAAAATGTTGTACTTCGAACTAGTTTTTTTCATAGGTGTTGTTTCTTCTCACTCCATTTCTCTTTATTAGTATCTTTCTGGATTGTTTTTCATTAGTACAACGTAGCTTCCTGAGGAGTGTTGTGCGAAAACTAGTTCGAAGTACAAATTTTTTGTTCATCATTTTTTTTTCCATATCACATTTTTTCTTTCTTCCACGTTCTTCACTGCCTTCGTATCCACTCGTTTTTTGAAAACAATAAAAGCCTTTGTGAAATGTCGGTTCAGCTCGTTCTGTTGATCGCAATTCTAAAATAATAATAATAATAATAATAATGCTAATGTTGTTGGTTGATCTAATAGTAATACCATTTTACATTTATGTGCAATGCACAGTGTATGTACATGTAGCTTTCCGTGATCCCGAGAACGAGCACTTTTTAGACCAATAATATTGGCAATAATCCACCTACATGTACATGTACTGATGTAGCTACATGTACACATAAATTTCAAGTATCCTGTCAAGAGGCTCCAACCCTTTGGCGGACTGCTTTGAATCGTGGTTGAGTGATAAGTATCGTTCTTTACTCCACTCTCAATCACGTGATCATATTGAGCCTGTATGACGGACGATTACAAAATCAAGTCTTCGACTCCAGATCTGCAGAGAAGATCTACAGATTTTCAGAACTTACTTATGGTACTTGGTAGATTTTACTGGAACAGCTCTCACCCAGTCCGACACGGAAAAAACCCCAACGATCAGCAATCATGACAGCAGTCATTATCCACATGTACTGTCCAGGTCAGGGGCCTAGATTATTACTACAACTGTGTTCTGAGCGTTTCTTTGTATGCGTTGCTTGCTTACTTGTACAATGATTACTAGAGTATGTAGTTTGTCTCCTGCAACCATGTTTCAACCTTGCTAGTGCTCATGTTTGGCGATTTGTTGTTGCACCGCCAAATGGCGCCAATTGTCTGTACTTGCCATCTTCTTACTCTTAGATTTTTGTTGGGTTTCAGTTCCCGTTATGGCAACACAGGATTGAGCATTTCTTTATTATTCTTGCCAATCGTACATGGTATCATAATTATAACGCAATACTACTACCAGTTCAAAACTAGTATTAGATAAACCTTGTTATAGTTCTCACATAATTGTGTCATGCTGTCAATCTAACAATAATGTATGTACATGTACATACATGTACATGTAAGCAAATTTTGCTTTGCCCGTAACGCGTAAAAGAAGCTTTCACATGACACAGTCATAATCATTGTATGAATTTTTAAAATTTTACAATCATGTACATGTAGGTGTGGATACATGCCTGGAATGCAATTTTATTATTATATATTTGAGGATTTCCCAAAGACGTATCAATGCAAGCCTAGCTGCGCCTGTGCAAAGACCATCATCACTACTGACATCAGTGATTCACCATGCATGCAGCACAGCGCATTGAGCGCAACCTGCATTAATTTTGTAAAATAAATGATTAAATTTTTTTTGCATGCGCGATTTATGAATCGACTGCATATCCGGTATCCGCATAATATGTAGCTCTCATGTTGATTCTTGCCAAAGCGACATGATCTGACGATTGTACTACAAATTCAATGATTGTACATGTATGTCATTACATGTGTAGTATGGGTGCCCATATCCGGCATAATTATCATTACGCTATGTGACATTATAACAAGATCTTAAGAGTGTAAATCTACTAGTACTACAGAGTCCGTGATTGTGATTCCATTCGTTCTGTGATCACGGGTGTGTTTTTGAAGCGAAGTGGATGTCGATGTGAGCTCAAGGGTTGCTGCTCACAGACACAGTCACACTGCAGTACTGCGCTCCAGCTCTACAGCACTACAGTCGCTGTCGCAGTATGCCATACTGGCCATAGCTCGCGGACGCGGAGGCCGCCAAGCGTGCGTGCGCGTCAGGACTCAGGGCCCGTCATCTGGTCATCATGGTCATTCTGCTCGACCAAAACTAAGTAATTAGTTACTTCAAAACCCCAGCTTGATCTGTAGTACTGTAGTCTGTAGTACATCTACTGGTAGCTCTCGAGACTCGACTGCATGGGTTGACCAGGTTGACCAGGTTGACGGGCCAGCAAGGCAGGGTAGGGGTCACTGCACTGCGTGACTGCAGCCACTTGCACAGTCATGTACTATGATGTAGCCTATTGTAGGCCCCGTCTGGGGACTGGTAGACCCAGGTACTCGAAGTCCGTACACTTTTACAGTGTGTGTTTGTCGAGCTGAAACTCACACTAGCAATGATCACTTGCCAGAATCCTGCTCGTGGATGGAAGGTATCTTGTCCAAGTTTGTTCTGAGGCCAGGCTCGATTGAACCAGGCCATCTTTCGATCCGATCTGTTTCTCTGGAGTTCGCTGATTTTTCATATCAAATTTTTGTGTCGCGGAGGGTACTCTAAGTCCGTACTGATCAGAGGTGACTCGAAATACACACATATTTCTGCTAATTGCTAACTTGCAATCCGTCGGTTACGACGAAAGCACCGAAGGGATATGTTTGGCATGTGCCTCCACCAGTATTTCTTGCAAAAGCGTAGTTTGTTGCCGAACTGCAAGCTGTTTTAGTCGGCTCAGAGAAGAAGCAGCTGCGCTGTGAAAACCGCGGGAAAACAGTGGTGGAGATGCCAGGAGTGTCAACCTTTCTGCAAGAATTGGTGGTTCTCTGTAAATTCTTCTCCTCTGGCCATTGTCAGCTCTAAGGGGTCGTCGCAAAAGTTTTTTGTCGTCCCTGAAACGAACATGATTCGTCTGGGGGGGAGGGGGTGCGAGCCAAAATCGCAAGTCAACCGACACTGTACATATGACATGTACATGCATGCGATTTTCGTCGTCCAGCATAGCAAGCTGTGTTCGTTTCAGAGGGAGGGGAGGGGGTCCAAGTACGAAATGAACGATGTTCGTTTCAGGGACGACAGAAAACTTTTGCGACGACCCCTAAGCTGGCTCTTGATGATTGAGTGAAGGTCTGTTTGACGCTGTGTCCGTTCGAAATCGGTCTTGGCAAAGTTGATTTTTGCATGAAATGTAACCCAATTTGTATTTCGTATGGGCACTCGAAAACCCACTCGCGTGGTATGGGACTTCTGCTTATCGTAGATCCCTGAAAATTGGTACGCGAGGAGAACATACCACACTGTCCCCTCCATAAAATATTTGAGTCGAATACAATAAAAGAACATGAAATTATGGGCGTACGAACTTAGGATACCATGTACGGACTTCGAGCACCTGGGTCTACTCAGTGGTAGCCTCTACTAAGTACTAGCTCTAGCTAGCTGTGACCGTGAGTGAGTGTGAACTCCACTCGTAGATAGCCTACAAGTACAACTAGCACAAGTCTGTAGAAGTGTAGATCTACAACTCGAGCTCGCGCTGAGCCAAGGAAAGGCTTGCGAGTTGCGAAGCCATCGTTGTAAACTGTTACTTCATGAATTCACTTTTTCAGACTGCACTGTGTCAGTCATACATGTGTACAATCATAGTCATTGTAGATCTACACTCATGACTGTGTATAATTTCGCCGCAACCACGGCCATCCACGCTCATCATGTCTCATAACACCTACTGCTAGTACATGTACTGTGTAGTAGTACTGACTGTACAGTGCAGTGTAGACTGACTGTACTGTCTGTAGTAGATGAATACACTGTACTAACTACTGCGAGTACTGGGAGGACTGCATTCTCCAGCCTAGTGCATGCAGGACCCTGGCCTGAGCTAGCCGACACAGATTTGTACGATTTTCGTAGTTGTGTGTCCTGTGCCTGTGGAGTCTCCCTCGTCTCAGCTACACGGAGCTACTCTGCGTGGACCGATGAGGAAAATTGCAACTCTGCTTTGTTCATTTGAAGTCGGTGAGGAGAACTCGTTATCGTGAGGGAAGGCGAGCACTTTTGATCCAAACAGCCGCCGATCGAGTTTGCTGTTGAAAGTTTGTAGTCATTGACAGCACAGACTAGGCTTGTTGCCAACGGTCAACGCACTCCAACGCCAATGCTGGTTCTGAACGTCTTTCCAATGGATTCGATTCTATCTGGTTGCCGTTCGGTCTACTCATTTGATCGTTTACACCGTACGTAGAGCTTCAGCGGACGTTTGCACGACTGCCTCCTAGATCGACTGTTGAAGCAGTTCGGGTCAGGCCGAGGCAGAAAGAGAGAGAGAGAGAGAGAGAGCGCAGGAGAGGAGGCAGCATCTGGCCAAGCAGTAAGCTCGTGTGTCTCTGCGGCCTGGAGGAGCACCTGCTGAGCTGCTGAGCGGCGATTTGTGCCACGGCGCTTATACTATAGGACTACAGCAGAAGCAAAGTGCTTATTTCAAGCTGGAGACGGCAGTCTAATCGGTGTCTTCTACGCGAGCTGTTGCAAAACTCTAGAATCACCACCGGCCAGTGGCTTGCCTGACATGGTATTGCAGCCGAGTACGAGTACTGTCATTGCCTGAGCTGATTCTGTTGCTGTTGTTGGACATCACCTTCGCTTTGCTGTGGAGTTTGGCGCTGAGCAAGTAGGCTGTGCGATCCTCCCCAGCCTAACCGGTAAGGCATCGATCCCCTTGTCTTATGATGGTTTTGTACGTGGACTACTAGTACTTGTGTTTTGAAATGGCCTCACGATCACTCGAGTGGAGGCTCTGAGTTTTGGTTGGGGATGTGGCGGCGATACGCTGTATCTACGTGTGTGGCTGTTCTATTAGAGGATTGTTTAGCGTTTTGGGCACCGTCGAGTTCGTTGTGCGTGGTAAGAGGAGAAAAGCTGCACTTCGAAGAAAGATATCTAGTGGTTAGCTTCTTATTTTCGCCAATGAACAAAGTCAAGTCAATGAATGTTTTGTGTCTAGTCGTACGGTACTTTTTGGACGGCCGAGTGCGCGCTGAGCATGGAGAGGTAGAACGCTCCTTGATTGGTGATTGATCTTACTCTCTGCTCTGGTCTGAGCGTTAGCTGGTAATTCCTACTACTTTGAATACAGGTAGATCGAGGATCCAATGATGATTTTTGAAAGCGAAACATCAATACTAGTATACTGCAATAGTACTCGATAACAGTAGTACCAATACTCATCTTCACTAGCACTTGCAGCGAGTCTGACGACACCCTCTTTTAGAATTATCAACTAACGTTACTGTTGTGTTTGCTTGTCTTGTACAAGTTAGTTGTAACTATGCCCTTGTGTTGATCTACAAGCCGTTAACATTAACATTCTGCACTTTGTATTAATTTTGTGTCATTCGATGATTCCGCTGATTGTTCCTTTTTCTGGGTGGAAAGAATTAGAAGTGGACCAAGAAATAGATGTTTCGTAGGTGATGACACTGTGGTGGCATTTGTGAATAATTCTGTTTGTTGTGGTTTGGAAAGATGTCTTATCTGTGTGTTCATGTGGTAGATGATACTAAGTTTCGTGGTGTCAATCTCTGTTACTGCCAAAATCTGCACTGTCCTAAGTGTGTCTCGTCACTCCAGTGCATGGCACATGTACACCATGACACGTGTATGATGTGGCTTTGTCCATATTCTGCATTCTGCCTGAAAAGTGAAAATGATCAGCTGAGCTTGGCTGATCAGGACAAGCTGCCAGCACTAATACTCCCTGCTCAGACAGTGTGACTGGAGTATTCTATGGAGTGTGACTGTGCAAGTATGTGACAGTGAGTTAGCACTAACTTACTTAGCAGGCACCATACTGCCAAGTACAGCCTACTGTACTGAGCAAATCGAAAACTCCCAAAGCATCACCATTCATGATTCATGGTCCTGCACAACTAACTAACTAATACTTACTTGTTGATTTATTGGGCATCAGGAAGTACAATGTACCAACCCACCATGCAGGGGATCCCTGTGTGATTTGTTGGTCGTATGTCTGCATGCCCCCTCACCCCAGTCACTGGCCGTATGCCTGCATGCCCGCTCACCCCAGTCACTGTAACTGTAAGCAGAAAATTAATATTCGTCTGGAATTTAATTTCATCATTTTCGTCCAAGGAGCTTATGGATAAAATTAAAATTAATGCCGGACTTATGTCGATTTGTCCAGCTTTTCAATACACTCTTACGTTCCGTTTCATGGACGGAATTTTCAACCGGACGAACTCCCTTTCTTTGGAGTTGGATGAAAGGATTGACCGACGAAATGTACTGGCTGTACAGTGTTGAGTTCTTCTCGCTCAACATAATGTATACTGGCACTAACACACATATACTCAGACATATACTGGCACACACACACACACACCTTGGACCTTGGACGCCCATCGCGTAGCGATGATGGCTCAGACGCGGCAGTGGGGGGCGTGCCTCCTCAGGTCCCCAATGCGGCCAAAGGGACGGCCACATGCGCAACGGAACTCTTTCGGTCCGGGTGGAGGAGGCTGCTGACGACACAACCGCTTCCAGGTTGGGCGATCCTGGGCTTGATGGAACCATTCTCCCTCTCCGATCTGTGCCGCAGCTAGATCAGTGACAACAACGTCACGCCATCGCTTCTTCGGACCGTGGCGGGGGCGAGTGGCATATAACTCGCCAAATACCATCTGCTGCGGAGTGCGGTGTTCCTCCATACGGGCAATGTGCCCCAGCCAGCGCAGACGATGCTGTCGGAGCAAATCGGAGATGTCAAGAGACATGCCAAATCGCCTGCCCAATTCTGCCGATGTGAGCCTGTCCTCCCACTGCTGGATCCGCGATACACCGAGGATAGACCGAATACAGGAGCGATGGAAGACGGTCAGCCGATGGACGTGGGTAGCCTTCACAGCCCATGTCTCTGCACCGTAGAACAGAGTGCTCAGGACAAAAGCGCGATATACCGTGCACTTAATGTCGATGGATAAACCCCGGCACCGGAAAATCGGGGTCAGGAGGCAACCAAACACACGAGATGCCTTGGCCAAGCGGGAGGTGATCTCCACGTCCAGTGACCCATCGCAACTCACCACACTACCGAGGTAAGTAAAGCCGGAGACCATCTCCACAACTCCACCATCATCGAGGACGACATCAGGTTGTAGGTCCCCCGGGCCGACTGCTATGGCCTTTGTCTTGGCGATGCTGACAGTGAGACCCCACTGAGAGGCACAGGCGATGAACTCGTTTGCCAGGGTCTCCAGATGTTCTCTTGATGTGGTGTATACAGCGGCATCATCAGCGAACTGGGACTCGGTAACTTGGTACGTGTTCAGTCGCGCCTTGGTTGTTCGATCCCCAACAAGCTTCCGGCCAGGGCGTGAGCGCAGGGACACGCCGGGAACAGAAGAGCGGGAACGCCAAGACGACATTACGGCAGCAAAATACAGATTGAATAGGGTGGGGGCAAGAGTACAGCCTTGGCGAAGACCATTGCTAACATATATGTCCTCCGTCAAGCGACCAGATATACGAACCCGAGCCCTCATGCCGACATGTAGGGACCGAATCAAGCTGAGAAGGGTAGGTGGAATACCGAGCTTCCCGAGGACAAGCCACAACGCCTCACGAGGTATGCTGTCATAAGCCTTCTTCAGGTCGACAAATATGACATACAGTGGCGTATCATGTTCGATGGCCTTCTCGATTAGCTGGCGCGCCACAAACACCATGTCGACGCACCCACGTCCCTTCCTAAAACCGCACTGTGACTCAGGCAGCACATCCTCGGACAGTTCCTGAAGGCGATCCTGGATAACCCGTGCAAACAGCTTACCGACTACATCCAACAGGCTGATGCCTCGCCAATTGTCACATGACCGTAGGTCGCCTTTCTTCGGTATGGGTACAATCTCAGCGTCGCGCCACTCAGAAACAACGGAGCCACCTGCCCAAATCTGGGAAATCAGAGAATGAATACGCCGGTGGAGAGCAAGACCGCCACCCAGCACCAATTCCGGCACAATACCTGACGAGCCACCAGCCGTGCCCCTACTCATCCTCCGCATCGCAGCCATCACCTCCTCAAATGTCGGGGCCATGTCAAGTTCATGACGCGGCTCAGCAGTAGGCATGTTATCAATGACATGCATACTAAACTGACTAGCAATGTTGAGCACTCTGTCGAAGTGTGCATGCCAACGCGTAACAAGACTTTCCGGGCTGTCAGTAAGGTGTCCGTCTCCATCATAAACCGCCGAGGGTGTGACCGTACGCCTGCCATCATCCACTCGCTGCAATTTTCGGATGCATTTCCACCTCACACAGCCATCCCCTTGAGCACGCTCAGCATCACCGACCACCTCACGGATCCATTGTTCCTTTGCACCACGCACCGCCCTCGCAACCGACCGCTGGGCTGATCTAAATCCGGAACGTGTCGTTTGATTGCCTGCCGACAACATTCGTTCATGGGCACGTCGCTTCGCCTCAATAAGTGGCTCCAATGCTGCCCTATTCTCCAGAAACCAGTCTGGTTGCCGCCGCCGACCATGGCCCAGTGTTCTCTCCGCTACGCTGGTGATGTCATCACGAAGGGAATTCCAGGTCTCTTCAACACTCTGGCCACCACCGACCGCGCCACCACAGGCTGCCTCCATTGACTCTCGGTACTGCAGTAACGTATCAGGCTCACGCAGGCGATGGGTGGCATACGACCTCCGCTTAGGGACAGTGGATCTACGTTGGACGAAGTCCAGGACAAGCTTGGCCCGAACCATGTAGTGGTCAGTCCAGCACAGTGCGCCGCGGACAACACCAACGTCCTTACAGTAGCAGCAATGAGCTGTACGCATGATGACATAATCAATGAGATGCACTTGGCGAGTGGCTGGATGAGTCCATGTTCCACGCTTACTTCGTCCCTTCTTGTACCATGTATTCATTACTGACAATTGATTAGCTGCACAGAATGACAACAGCTCCTCACCAGCCCGATTGCAATTTCCAAGGCCAAATTGGCCCAAGACACAACCCCACATCCGCTCATCCCCTGGCATGCCATCGATACGACTCACAGCGCTGTCTGCATAGTCAGTGCTGGACCCGACGCGCGCGTTCAAATCCCCAAGGAGCACAAGAACATCTCTGGATGGGATACTGTCCACAACTCGTTGCAAGTCATCGAAAAACTTGCGTCTTACGTTCGGTGGGGCTTTACTCGTTGGAGCATAAACATTGACGATAGAGACACAGAAATCTGCGTGTCGCTTACCTCCACCAGGGAGTTTATCACCTCGCTTGGCGACAAGAAGACGAGCAGTGACAATACGCGAACTGACGGCGCTCCACTGCTCCCCTCCGCTCTTCCACATCCCGGTCACGGCGGAATTCATCAAAATTCCAACTCCCTCGTTCCGGCGGCCGGGCTCACTCCCCAAAGGCAAAGGCCTCCCAGAGTGTAACAACGTACCGCTCCCAGCAGGCCAGACGTCGCTTCCAAACCATTTCGTCTCCTGAATACCAGCAACGTCCACGCCGAACCTGCCGAGTTCCTCCACAAGAAAATCCAGTTTCCTGTCAACGGCGGTATCCGAGACATTTTTATTTTTACGGCATATTTTGGCATCACCAGCGTCCTCCACCAAGGACCGAACGTTCCATGTCGCAGTGACCAGTGTCCCCTTCGCCTTCGTCTTCCCCGTCCTCCTCGTTGTGACCATAATTCATTCAAATTCAAAAAACTACAAATTCCCCAAACCACTTCGTCTGACTAGTGCAATGCGTACAACAAACCTCCCGACAGCTCGCAAGGCTGTCAGGACGGGCCACAGCAGCCAAGGCCTGGTCTCCACCATACGGCACTTGGCTGCCAAGTGTGGCTAATCCATCAATGAGACAGAGCTCAAAAAGAGCAAACTGCCTCCTCCAACAACAAGTTGCAACACACACACACACACACACACACACACACACACACACACACACACACACACACACACACACACACACAGAGACATAGACAGCAACAGCGACAACACACAAAGTGAAGGGTAGTTGGCCGCAGCCAGATGTGAACCGGATAACGAGTGAGGTATGGAAGCAACGACTGAGAGCAGAGTGTCTCAGATAGAATAGGTGTGCCAGCGGATAGCAGAAATAGGCCATGATGCAGAACCACTTGGGACCGTCAGATTAATGTTTCTGGACCTAGCCAGCCGGGAAAAAAACCTCGCGCCGGCGGATGCACTTGTGAGGGAAAAAACCGGGTGTATATCCCCAATGGCGATTAGGCGTCATGTAGGCATGGCAAGCACATCACGGCAAAAAGTGATAAAAAAAAGCAATGATAAGATGCACAGAAATGACGGGTGGGAGGGCAGGGACACTGGTGAGACTCAAAACTGACTGGAGAAGTCAGGAAAAGAATCGACAATAAAGAACACACCAGATGCCATATTTGCAACTGAAAATGTTTCCCGAGAAATACAACGAATCTCTGCACTGGCGTGGATATGTGCTATAAAGATAAAAGTAGATAAAAAATAAAAATCTTTCCTTGGGATAAATCTATGAACAAAATTATTATACATTTTAAAAGTGCCCACTCATTACTCCGACACACAAGGCAAGGTAGGTCAAGAGTTTTCCTAGGACGTTTTCTTGTGACACACACACACACACACACACACACACACACACACACACACACCTCGACACTTGACCTTTGAAGCCCATCAGCAATGATATCATCAGACGGTAGATAACAGTGAAGCGATAGCAACAACTACCACAACCACAACTATTCAGCCTGGTTTACACAGCACATCTATTTCAAGTGGCTTTCACACATACCCCCTCACACCCACACACACACACACACCATACACCCATCCACACACAAACACCCCCCCCCCCACACACACACACACATACAAACACACACACACACACACACACATCGTGCACACACACACACACACACACACATACACACACATCGTGAACGGTGGTGACATTGCTCCATGCTGCCAAATATGGCGATATCGTACTAGTTGTGATTTTCGGACATGTTTCACTTTTTTTGCTGCCTGTCACATTGATCTGTAGCACGTTCAGTGGACTGTGGACTGTATAGTGGACTGTGGACTTCATATTGGACTGTGGACTGCATAGTGGATTGTGTTCAGAAGCACCTGTGCACCTGTACGGAATAGGAAATATTCTTCTTCCTGGCGTTTTCCGTGGCTATTCCGACTAGCAATTATGGAGTACCCGAATCATGCGACAGCAAGTGACCAGGTTCCGAAGTAAGTACGCTTGGCAATGCTGTGTATTGGGCAATGCTGTGTATTTGGCAATGCTGTGTATTTGGCAATGCTGTATATTTGAGTGAAGGTCAGTCCCTTGGTGTTTATAAACTCATTGTCTTCTGCCATAACGCACATCCAACTTTAACTGAAACTTTGTCGGCATATTATTGTTATCATTCTTCTTTATTCTCACGCTGGCGACTCGCGCCAGTATGTTGCACTCATTGTGTATGCACGGCGACAAACATGATTTGCCGCGTACATGTAGGTCGGCAAAAAGAGCCCAATGTCTGTTGCAGCACCTCATGGTGATGATGGTACTGGACATGGCAGCTACAGACACATGCGTATCATGTTGCCATGTCGAAAAGATTGCTCTGGGAAAGAATGTGACCACAGTTCCCTTCAGTCAAGGCATTCAAACCAAGAAAGATAGCCTAAAAATGTGCAGAAGCTTACACAATCCATTTCTCTACACTGTGAAGTGAACCACCTCAGTGCCGCCCTGGCGCTCTTCTTAATTTTACATGCATTGTCGGACACATGGAGGTTACATGCATTGTGGGGCATAGGGTTCACTCCGAGAGCAGACACACTGTAATTTCACAAATTTTCGATGTACTTCTATTTTCGGTACTTTCGGTGCATCTGTTTCATACCTAAAATTTCAATAAACCGAACAAACACTAACACACATAATCCAATAGGGAACTGCTTCTCTGTACCGAATATTTCTGTTCACCTAACTTGGCCTTTTGCTCTCATGCCGAAAATGATGAGTACCTAAATCTTGTGGAATTAGAGGCATGAATCTAGATGTCGCGGTGATCTGCTGCTGGGCAGGAATCCTTAGCGATGGAGAGGCCAGATCAGACGCTCTCTCATCTAGTCGGCGTGAGTGAAGATTCTGTGCACAGCGCCAAGGTGTGTAGTGATGCGCTGACGCAACTGTACATTCACCTTCTCTCCTTGTTTGTGTGTGCGTGCGTGTGTATGTGTGTGTGTGTGCATGTGTTGTTAGCCTTCCAAACGCGGACACTGCGGATGGCGCACAATTCATGCTCAACATGTTGCAGAACATTGGTTATGGCACGGCCCTTCAATCCTTTGTACCAGATCCAGCAGCTCCTACAGCTCCCTCTTGTACAGATCTATCAAGTGGGGGGTTCTCCCACATTGTTGGCGGAGAAAGGTATGACATTCAGTTGACTGCGAATTTTGTCACATTTCTGTCTTCTTCGTGAACTACAAAGCAGCTGAGTGGGCATAGTTCCCTTGTGGATTGTTGTGGCTATGGGTAGTGTTTTGGATACAACCAGTGCTGAGGCCATCTCTACGTGTGTGTGTGTTTGTGTGTGTTTGTATGTTTGCGTTTGTGTGTGTTTGTGTGTATCAATGTTTGTGTGCATCGGTGTTTGTGCTCTGTAATTGCTGTACTGTAGATCGGGAGGACAGAATGCCGTCTCATCTAGCCCCAATCACGACAACAGCCAACAACTACCCGACAGGCCCGGTTTCCCTTTGGGATTGGAGACCACAGCTACAGCAGCCCCTGCTGCTATGCAGGCTACATGCAATCACTCCAACACGACGCATAGCCATGCAGAGGCGACCAACACGCCACTGGCATCATCTAACCCGCCAACCAAACCTGTAGCACCGAAGCGGAAAACCGTGTTGCCCGTTGCGAAAGCGGAGAAAAGGTCCACCTCTCAGCGATCGAAATCCCATCAGGCTAAGCCAGATGCGCCCAAGCCACTCTCCGCGAGTGAGATGAAGTAAGAATGCATGAATTGAAATTTGGAAGATTGTGTTGTTTTCTACATGTAGTAGCTATGTTGTTTAGGTGCTGCATCTGCGTCTTTGATCCTAGAGGGTGGTGGCGTTCCCACGGCGGCGCTGCATCTCTGCGCCTTTGATCCTAGAGGGTGGTGGCGTTCCCACGGCGGATGCAGAAAACTCGGCTTTCAGCCGAGTCACACGCGAACCGTGATTTTGTTTTGTTTTTTTTGTTAGCTATGCCGAAACGCATGCTATCTTGTGCAGTATGCTTGGTTGATGACCGGCAGTACACTACACATACTTCCCCTTCTACCGTGGAAGCAACCACTGCTATTATAAGACAAACGTTGTGTCTGGGATGCAAGTTATAAAGATGCCTGTGTGTATGTCTATAATGCATGTGTGTGTTTGTGTGCGTGCGTGTTTGTGTGCGTGCGCATGTGTGTTGTGTGTGTGTGTGGGTGTGCCTGTGTGTGTGTATGCGTGAATGCGTGTGTGTATGCGTGAATGTGTGTGTTTTTGTGTGTTTGTGCTGTGCAGGGACAGCCATAGTGAAGTGGAACGCAAGAGACGGTTGGCGCAGAAGGAGATGATCGTAGCGATGACCGGCATGCTGCCCTTTGGTTCCGACATCAAGAAGCGCGACAAGCTAGACAAACTAAAGGCCATCATAGAACTGCTCAAGAAAGTACAACGTAAGACTGAGTTTTGCATCGTGGCTACAGAGGTGCCAAATCTACCGATCAGTCGGGGGATCTCCTGATTTTTGTTGGTTTTGAAACATGTCCCGATCTCCCTCCCAATACGGAAAATCTCCCGACTTGCTGCTTGTTCTCGTCAACTTCGTCAAGCATGCACACACAGACGGGGAGGGGGGGGGGGGGAGGGGGGAGGGGGTAGCATGCATGCATGCAGTAGAGCCAGCTACGTAGTGCACCTACAAAAGTCATGTTCATAACTGTACGTCGTTTCGTGTTGTAGTCGTGCTAGTACTGAACAACATGTATACAATGTAAACATGTCGATGTAAAAAAAGTAGTGGTGAAACGAATATCAAAACCCAGTAGCCGAATATTCGTTGGCTTAACGAACGAACGAACGAATATTCTTTCGTTAACACGGATGACATCACACACCCTCCTTTCAGTCATTTTATTGGATATTGTCACTATCATTAGGCGTGACAAACGAAGGCACATATTTCTCCATCATTTCTAGGTCAATTTTCACAAAATCCCCAGCTAAAGTGCATTTTACACGCTCAAAAAACAGCGCAATACGTGATTTTCGGTCGACCGCCACAACTCCATTCCAGGACCCCGGATCGCGTCCGGGTTGCTTCGAAACGACAGCTGAGAGTTTTCTAAAGCCGATGGAACTTTCGATGAAGCGGTTTGGTCAAGTATTCGCGAAGTTACGGAAGTTTAAAGTCGCCTGGTAAACTCTGCATACCCGGTTAGCGAATATTCGCCATGAGAAATATTCGTTCGAATGTGACAAACCGAACGAACATTCGAATATTCGGTATATTCGTTTCACCACTAAAAAAAGACATCCGTTTGAAGGCCAACGGACCTCCCCGCCTATGGACCTCCCCGTCTGGCTACCCCCCCCCCCCCCCGTGGAAGGAGATCTACCGACCAAAGAAAACATGAACTTTTCAGGTCTGTGTGCAGCTGATCCTATCCGTGAACCAGAATCTTGATCTAAAGCATATTAATACTAGCACTTGGTCACTGTGTAACATCAGTGTGTGACATCGCTGTGTGACATTAGTGTGTGACATCAGTGTGTGACATTAGTGTGTGACATTAGTGTGTGACATCAGTGTGTGACATCAGTGTTTGACAAACACAATCATATCAAAGAAATTTCTGTGGTGTGCATGTGGAGTGTGTGGAGCTTGTGCAGGCAGCTGGCTGCACACAA